CTGGCTCAAGCATGTCCCTTCACTTCGCCAGCCCCTTGCCCAAGCTGATTGAGCTATCCCGTTGCCCTTAGCGCACAGGTGTGTTCCGGCCCAAGCGGTTGCCTATCATCATGGCACACAGGTGCCTGTCATCATCGGCATACAGGAGACCCTTCACAACGGTGCCAAGTCACCTCATCGGCACATGGTCGCCTTCCATGATGGTTGTCCCCCTTTAGCACATAAGTGGCGCCTCCCATGGACCGGTTTGAGCCAGGAGAGTGCCCCGRCCATTGGACTTGAGGTCATGATCCAGTGCTACTGACTTTGGTGGAGCCATCCCAWCGGGCAACTCCTAGCCTCTAAGCGCATAAAGGCTTGTCCTATCCTGCCTTGGCCAGGACGCCGCACGGGTTTCTTCCGCTATAGAACTACCCCCGTGACAACCAGGCAGTTCGCCCCCAGGCAGTTCGCCACCAGGTAGCTCGCCACCAGGCAGTTTGCCACCTGGGAGCACTACCAGGCAGTTCGCCATCAGGCAGTTCGCCACCAGGGAGCACTGCCGGGCAGTTCGCCACCAGGCAATTCGCCATCAGGTAGTTCGCCACCAGGGAGCACTACCAGGCAGTTCGCCACTGGGCAGTTCGCCACCAGGGAGCATCACCAGGCAGTTCGTCACCAAGTAGTTCTCCCCCAGGGAGTTCGCCACCAAGTAGCTCATCACCAAGGCACGTCACCACCAGGTCAAACACGATGTACTTAGCCAAAAAATTTATACATCACAAAAAATGGTATGTGACCAAAAATGGTTACATCAAAATCCATAAAGCTACGTTTGGTAAAGATAAAAAAAAGCCAATATTAAAGTTTCGAACACAAAGAACTGAACTATAAATTAAAGCTACTGCAGGTAGCTTGTTCAGAATCAACCACCACCTCGCCTCCAACGAAGAAGCCCTCCCAAAAGCGGCTTAATCAACGCAGCTCATTCAACACATAAGCCTTCCCCAAGAGACCCTATATCCCTACGGTTCTGTTTGTTTGCGATACAAACGTTAAATCGGGGTATTTATGCACCTCAGTTTTGTGTTTATGAGCATTTGTTTGAAACATAAAAAAGTAATGATTATTAAAGTAAAATTTTATTTTTTTCACACTTTTATACTCTAAAAGGAGAGCATTACTGTACCTATTTTTTGGATATAATTTTGTGTTTATTTGATAATTAATTTTTTGACTAAAATTGAAATATTGAAGCATAAGATAGTTGGAGCATTTAATAAACCTACACCTTTGCACTGATTTCAAACAAACAGAACAAATGCAAAAACGATTTAAAATATAAACCGTAAATTCTTTCGTGATCCGAAAAATGAATAAATATATAATATACATATTTGCGTTTGCATCGCAAACAAACGCAGCCTACGTGGCAAGTGGCAACTAGCAACTGCAACTGCAACTGCGAGCAGCTAATCCCTATTTGAGAGAGAAGGGAAATGAGTATACGTCGTTTTCATTTCGTGAAATTTGTCCATTGTCAGTTTGTACTTTTACAGAGTAGACCGTAGCCCCCTGACATGCGAGAGAACTCCGACCTCCAAGAAACGAGAAGGGCAGGGACTAGGGATTAGGGAAGGGTAAAATAGGCATTTTGATTGAACGAGATCTATACGGTGCGCTTGGGCTCATGGACAAACCGACGAAGCGATGACCATTACCGTATTTTTCTTTGGATCCCCAAATACTCGCAATAGAAACTCAAAAAATTAAAAATAATAGACCACATGATGAGAAATCAACGGTACAATGCATGTGATGTGGGCTGCAAGGCAAGACAACGCCGAAACATGTTCTAATTTCTCACACGCAGACGCACAACCAGCAGTCACCTTGGCCGCGCAGGTTAGCACAATGCACCTTCCCTCTCCCTTAGCAGTTGTATGATTATTTTTTTGATAAATCTCTTAAACTGACACTGCTGTTCACGAAATAGAAAAACTGTACCTTTGTTGTTTATATATTGTCTTAAACTATCGTTTAAGTTTTCTGACAATTGATACGTCCTTAAACACTAATGAAAAAAAATGAAATATCGAATTTATTCTTCATTATTTGTTAAATTTTTAAAATAAAACCCGCTGATGAAAAACCCCTAACTGGGTATGTATGAGTTGGTCAGGTTTTAATGGTGGCTCCCCTTATGTAGCAAATATCGTGGCATCGGTTCTAATCTGGTTACTGAATCCAACTAGTTCTACCATCAGACAAAACTAGACTAGCACACTCCACTCAGTACACTGCCTAACCCAAACAGAACACAGATTACTTCAAAACATTATGGTTTCATCAATGGCAAAAGCAGATTATTGGTGTTTTACCCAAGAAGTAGTTCTTCATCACTTTGGTAAAAGCAACACTTTGCTCAATCTGCGTCATCTGTCCGATCTTTTCCTCTAAAGTCATCATGCTCAAAGATCCTTGACCCGAACATTTAGTGGCTATTGAGGGTCTTTATATTTGGTGTGCTCTGCTTCTGCTATGGCTACCCAGGAGCACAACAACAGAAACCCATTAAGGGAGTTCAAGAATCTTCCCATCTTCTGGACCTTGTCTGCCTTTGGGCTGAAACCATGCAATAAGGAGAATCAGAATGCATACAAAAAGCCATAAAAATCCTAAGATGAAGTAAATGAAAGAAAATTCTAAATAAAACCAAAGGAATTGCAAGACCCATGAGTAGATAACTAAAACAGCAAAAAGTAAGTAAAAATGCGTATTGTATATTTTATAGCTGGAAAGTAAGAAAAATTCTATCAATTTAACACAAAAAGCCCCAATTCACGTGTTCACTAGCTCAAAAAGAAGTTCAAAACACTGGGGAAAATGTAAAGTTAGATCTCTTTCAATCAAGAAAACTGTTGGAAGTTGTAGATCTGGGAGGGGGCAGAAGAAAATAGGGAGAACGAATAGGGGAAGGGGTGTCGATGCTATCTTCGAATTGCAACAGTTCCGGGGAGTTTTGCATAATAAGAGTATTTTAAGAATTTTAAAATAATTACCACTCTAAACTGATAGAAAATTAATGGCAAGAGAGATTTTAAACAATTATAAAAAAAATTTAAAGGTAGTTTAACAAAATATGTAAACAATAAGATTTCAGTTTGCCAATTTCGTGAAGAGTAGGGATAGTTTAAGTGATTTACCCTTATTTCTTTCATTTGAATATTCTTTACGAGAGAGAGAGCTGACGTTTCACCTCCTCCTACACGTACAACCAAACTCTCACTCGAACTCCCACCACCTTTCAGTTCAGGCATTTGCTCCGCAACGCACTGAACTCCTCCGGTGCTACTTTGAGATAAACCGTCAAGTTTCAAGTTACTTCCAACCTATTTCGCGCGTCTTTGCGTGTGAGTTACTGAGTTCGTCCTTTCTTTTTTTCTTTTCCTTATGTAGTTCACAAGTTTTTGTATTACTTTTATATAGAGTAAGCTTTCGTGGGTTTTACAGTTCTGGGCTGTTCTGTATTGAACTTCAAATGGGTTTGTGTTTGATCTCGTTTCAGGTATCTTTCCTTCTCTTAGTAGTTTCATACATTTTTCCCCTATTCTATACTTTCTGTACGTATTCCTCGCTGTTGGGAGGATAACCATCCGTGGTTCTCTCATTTTTTTCCTAAAAACACTGTAAGTGGGTTTGGTTGTTCTACTGTAATGTTTTCTCTGATTGTTCCCTCTTTGAACCTGGAAGATGGGTAATCTTGGAATCTTATTAACATAGTTTTGGTAAACTTGAACTCTCCATCCAACTAGTTTAAGGGTTCGTCCTCTTTATCTTTTTCGCTTAATATTCTGTTTCACGGCTTTTTTTCACAGTTTTCTAAACTCGATGTTTTAAGTTCCATAAATGTATTTCAAAGAGATTCACTGTAGAGGTGAATGGAAACATGAATTCATGAAAGGAGCTATCAGTTTCGAGTGTCAATTTCTTCATGAGATTGTTGCTTGATATGATGAATGGAGAATTAATCAATAGTGTTTTGAAGTTTAACATGTACCTTTAACCACCTGACCAGGAAGGGGAGTTAATCAATTTGAAACCATTTACTTTTTTCTAAGAAGTCACAAGTTTTCATTTGAGCGAGTTGATTGGTTGAACCGGATGGTTGGAGTCTTTTGGTTCATTAATCTATGACCTAGTGGCCAAAGTGGTCTTATGTCCAGTCTGATAAAGTTGCCTTTACTTGTAAGCAAGGACCATATTCATCAACTTTTTTAGTTTTAGTTTTATTTTTATTTTTATTTTTAAATCTGCTTATTGTAGAAACTACAAAATCTGGGACGGAAATATAGATCACAAGTAAGTGGTACTGTTCTAGTACTGTTGGTAGGATTAAGTCGTTGAATATTTAGACAGGTGATCATAACATTTATAATATATATATATATATATATATATATATATATTTGAGCAAACATAACCAAGAAAGATTCAAGGAATAGATTGGGGATCCAACTTACAAGAAGAAGGAGATGTGTTCTGAACAAAGCATTGACAACCAAAAATGTGAACATGAATAGGGAACAAAGTAGGATGAGAAGAGTAATTGATGTGGTGCCTCAAAGTTAGCCATGGAATCCATGATGTAGAGACCTTCAACCATGTGTCCTTTACGAATCATTTTCTTTGATGTCAAAAATCCTGGAAAACATGAGTCAAGAAGAAAAATTACTGAACACTTGAACAGTTAAGTCTTTGTAATGCAACTAATGGAGAGAAGGTTAATAGCCATATTAGGGATCTGGAGGACATTAGGAAGAGACAAACCCATGGGCAAAGAGACAAATCACTGGCCAGCAATACTAGAATTCTACAAAAGGAACCAGCATCAAGTTTAACTTTATCTCTGTAGGAAATTAAAATATGAAGAAAAAATATTAGACTTACCAGTCATATGATTAATTTCTCCCTTTTAGGAGGATTCATAAATGCCCTCCTACTCTCCTTTGACTGGACCGAGGCATAAACCTCTTGTAAATTAAGCAATTCTTTACCACCCAAAATCTGAACCTGAATAGGTTCATAAATTGATTTCAGACCTGCTAAGAAAGCAAATACTCGCTGCCAAGACACCTGAAGTATCTTATTGATCCTTCCAATTTATGGTTTGGTAATGGTCTATCTCTTTCGATAAAGACATAAGAGTGGAATAACAGGCTTCAAGACTTTTATCACCTTGTCCACTTGTAGATTATTCCGTTTGGAGTTGATAGACTAATGCAAAGTGCCTCTATTCAGCATATGTAGTTGTAGCCTTGGCTGTTTTAACCCACATGAAGTTCTTTCTAAGGGCAGGTTGTATAGTGGAAACCAGCCATGTCATTATCTTGTAATTCTTTTGTTCCCACTTATCATGTATAGGTAGTATAGCTCCTTCTCTACTAGGTTCCTTGATCTTTCCCATGAGATGCGAATTTTTCTCTTCCTCCAATAAACATCTTCACTTCCTTGAACCACTCCAAGTACTTGAGGCCATCAAGAGAGACAATGGACATAAGAAGGTTCATAGTATCCATACCACTACCAGGTAGGAACAGACTCCCAGAGGATACTGAGGCAATTGAGCCTTTTGAAGTCATGATTTTCAGTCGCCAACAACCAGTTGAATACACTATTGGGTACTCTAAACAACATCTACAGAAACACTGCTGTTAACGGTTAACCTATGCTGGATTCCTAGGGAACTAGCTCACTACCTGAATGAGGCTCAAAACGTTTTGAACTCAATGGATGTTAACGATTAACCTATGCTGGAATCCTAGGGAACTAAATGTATTACCAGATGGCTTAGCTAAACTAGGTGCTTTCTTGGACTATTTGTATAGTGACAATTTCCTGCCAGTGTAGCCTGTAGGTTTGTCTGGCCATTTTTTCATTTTTCTGATGTACATCTTCTCATGTACTCCCCCTTTTTTCTTGAATGAAAGTTATCTTTTCTCAAAAAAAAAAAAAAAAGGGTCCCACAACTAACAACCTGTTTAGGACTCCAAAACTTTTTCTGATTGCTAAGATCAACACTGATCTAAGACATACATCAACGAGGAATCATATCAAGCACCTGCAGTGCTGCTGCCTTGACTGTAAAACCTTTTCCTTCCAATAGTCACTAACCTATCAAACAACATCGTAGGACTGTTCTGCATTGAAAGAAGTAGTCAACACCCTTGCCAATGACTTTCTACTGCCTAACAGCAGTCCCACAGGTCAAACCAATCATTACAATGATCACCAGTTCACCACGAGCAGAAAAGACCCTTGCAGTTTAAAGGAGAGCTACCCAGAAGCTAAACCCTGGTTTTACAACCAAGGGAAGATAAAAGAAAAAATAAAAGAGGCTTGATCAGATCTGAGATCAAGTTCTTTGATTGCTTTCAGTGATATGATAATAGAATATGTCAAGTGAAGAAAAGAATCCAAGTATTCTCCATGATAGATGTGGCTCTGATACCATGCTATCTATCAAGAGAAGCCCTAGAAAGGGTGCAGCCCAGAGAGAAGAGAGAGTGAGAGAATCAGATTCATGGGGTGTGTCGGTGCCCCATAACCCCTTTTATATAAAAATAAGATAATGTTAGAATTACTATACTGCCTCTGTGTCTACAAATATTAGAAAATACTATGTCCCACAACAGTTGTAATTCACAGATTATGTACACATAGTTGTCAAGGTGTATGGGTATTTCTAGGTGACAATAGAACTTAGTTGCCTAAGCAATGGAATTTGACAAAGAAAAACATAAATTCTAGGCCAATCATTAGTTTTATATACAAAGTTACAAACCAACGATCTTATAAATTTAGAAAAAGCATACTGATAAAAAATAAATTTAGAAAAGGCAATGCTATTTATCAAGTAATATTAAATTTCATATGAAAACATGGTAAATCACCATATTGCAAATGACTAACATTACTATCATGTATCATCATCATCATCATCATCATCATCATCATTATCATCATCAGCCAAGCCTTAATCCCTATTCCCTACTATATGAGGTTGACTACATGAATCCTATTTTGCCATTCTGTTCTGTTTAGGGATTGAGGGAAAAACAATATAACTATATTAATTTTTCATAGAACAATGTATGACAAAAAAACATTAGCAAACAAAGAAGGCTAGAATTTATCACTAACAAAATATTTAAATTTAACAAATAGAGAAAGAGTAATGAAAGAAAAGACAATCTAAGGAGCTCTTTGATAATGGTTGAAGTGGCTAAATGGCATGGCTTATTGCTGTCTTTCAGTAGATTAGATAGTTAATATAAGAATCAAGCAATCAGCCCAACATTTTGTTTAGCCATTAAGGAGCAAACAACCTACTTAATGATTTATCTCTATCCGGATCTAGTCCCAACACAGGGTCCCGACAGCCATTGCAGTCGTGCATTGGGAACACCTCCTTTGTCCTTCATGGCAAGATGTTTCCAATGTACAGCTGCAATGTCTATTGGGACCGTGTTGGGACCAGACCCGAACTCAATTTATCCACCAAAAGAGAAAGCAATAAGCATTCTCCTCAGCCAATTCAACTATTATCAACCAAACCCTAGGTGACTGAGTCCTTTGTTCTATTAAATAAGAGAGTAATTGAACAAAAGTAGACGGTTCCTTTTTTTGTTATCTTCTTTTTTTCTCTCCTTCCTCTGAAACACTTAGATCCTTGTATGTTTCATCTCTTAAACTTTAAAAGATATGATGCACCAGCACGCGTACTAAACAAGATACAACCAGAACAATAATAATACTAGCGGAGGGGCCCTGCTTTGCATGGGCCTGGAATGGAACCGTCGACCTGTTGATTCGTTGATTCGGTCCCTGGTCAAAAACTATTGAATCGGTCAATGACCCATTGACTTAAGCGGTCGAATCGTCAACCCGTTGACCTGTTCAATGGTTTTTGGCCTTTTTTTTAATTTTTTTTAATTGGGAACCATCCAGGCAACTGGTTTTGTTTTATCCTAATCTCAGTCCATGGCCAAAAATCATTGAATCGGTCAACAACCCATTGACCTAGGTGGTTGAACCATTGACCCATTCAATGGTTTTGGTCTTTTTTTTTTAATTTTTGTTGTCAGAACGAGCCATCCATTCGAACCGAATAGTCGAACCGTAGACCCGAAAAACGATGGCCAGAACGGTTCCGTTTTCAAGTCGTATGAGTCACACGATCGATTGACATGGTATTGCTTAATGGATGTCACACGCCCAATTTTTTGCTTGTACTATTTTTTGTCAGAACGGGTCATCCGTTTTTTTAATTTTTTAATTGGGAACTGTCTAGGCAACCAGTTCCGTTTTACCCCAATCCTAGTCCCTGGCCAAAAACCGTTGAATCGGTCAACGACCCATTGACCCGAGTGGTCGAACCATCAACCCGTTGACCCGTTCAATGGCTTTTGGCCATTTTTTAAATTTTGTTGTCAGAACGGCCCATCCATTCGAAACGTATGGTCGAACCGTCAACCTGAAAACCGGTGGCCAGAACGATTCCATTTTCGGGTCATATGAGTCACACGTTCGAATGACATAACACGCATGGTACTGCTTAATGGACCTCACACACTCAATTTTTTGCTTGTAATTTTTGTTGTCAGAATGGGTTGTCCGTTCGAATCGGACGATTGAACCGTCGACCTGAAAACTAGTGGCCAGAATGGTTCCATAATTTTTTGCTTGTAATTTTTTGTTTCCAAAACAGCTTGTCCGTTTGAACCGAACAGTCAAACCATTGACAAAAAAACCGGTGGCCACAATGGTTTCGTTTTCAGGTCGTATGACACACGCTCAAATGACATAACACGTATGATACTACTTAATGGACCTCACAAACTCAACTTTTCCCTATAATTTTTGTTGTCAGAACAGACTGTCTATTCGAACTGGATGATCAAACCGTCGACCCGAAAACCGGTGGCCATAATGGTTCCGTAATTTTTTTGCTTGTAATTTTTGTTGTCAGAACGGGCCATCTGTTCGAACTGGACAGTCGAACCATCGGTTGTCAAAACGTTATTAGCAACAATTATCAATAATAGTAAGTAATTATAGTATTTAATTAAATAATCGTTAATGATAGTTTTAATAATATTATTTAGTTATTTTTAATATAACAATAAATATTCATTAAATTACTAATTACCAAAATTAAATTAAATTAACAGTATTTATCAATAATAGTCAATAATTATAATATTTTATTAAATAATCAGTAACAATACTTTTAAAAACATTTTTAATTATTTTTAATCTAACAATAATTACTAAATTTATTAATAACAATATTTATAATTTTAATTTAAAGTAAAATTAAAATAAATATCTATTTATTAACAATATTTATAATAACAATAATTATTAATTATAATCACTAATTATATATTTATTAAATTACTGTAATAATAAGTAATTTAATAGTATTTATAATTTTAAAGTAAATATCTAGTTATTAACATAACAGTAATTATTAATTATAATCACTAATTATATATTTATTAAATTACTATAATAATTAGTAATTATTAAATTACAGTAATTAATTACTGTAATAATCAGTAGATTCTATTAATTAAATTATAGTAATTAATTATTATAATAATCAGTAGATCTATTAATTACAGGGTTGCTCTATGTGAGAGCAGCCCTATTATATATATATATATATATATATATATGATTATATCAAGGTACCCACATTGTTGCATGGCGACCATATAATATAATTCATGGTGCTCTGTCTAGATGCCCCCCAAATGCCTTATCACCTAGGCGTCACTTTGATAGCTATGTATGTAATCCTGGTTTTGGTAGGGGTAGGTTCCTTTTAATTTTCAGTTTTGTTTATTATAATAAGATTCCCTTCTTTATTGTTCTTTTTTTTTTTCCTTCCTAGGCTCAGCAAGATTGTGTTTTAAGTTTTGGCCTCTTTGTTGGAAAAATGCTTTATGAGTGCTAATTAATCACCACATCCCCATAATGAACAAGCTTGGAATAGCCTAATTTTTTAGATAATAAATTATAGTGAGGAAACATTTGAAGATCTACTCATTTGCAATAAACTGAGAATGACTGGACAAGATTCGTGTAGCTTGATTCCATATGACTGGGTATAACTCTGCCAATGGCGAAGAGGACTTGTTTAAATATTTAGGCTACCAATAGTGCAATAATTACTTAGACTTTCCCCTTGGGTGCAACTACAGGTCTGTGATGAGCTGATTGTGGAGTGCTCCAGTAGTGTTCTAGCATATTAGTTGAACAAATGGGGTTTTTTCATTGACTTTCCCCTTAGCAGCATTCTAATCCTACTATTCCAACCTTGTACTTGGCTAGTTATCTGCTCTATGCTTGGCCTAATGAGCCTCAAATGTCTTGATAATGTTTGTAAATGAGCTTTAGGTTGAAATTCAAATCAGTGGCATCCTTTAAAGAAAACTGCTCTGTTTCCATTTGATGGTATATCAGCCACCATAAGTATTCTTTTATCTTTATCCTTTCTCTGAATAAAATGTTTCCATTACTTCCTGCTAGTTATACCCTAGCTTTGTTCTATATGATGTAGCATTTGATAATTAGTTTGCTCATTACAGTTACTGTTATAATGGTTTATTTTGAAGTTCTCATTATGATCTCACATCATTTTTTCCTCAAAACATTCTTTTTTTAATTTTAGGTTCTCAAAAACAACATTGTTGAGCCCTAAATACTTGTAGTTGGAAAGATGCAAGCCATGTCTCATTTTGAAGGAGTCAATAAAGACTGCAAACTTGAGTGGGGAAAAAAGAAAGGAGTTGGTGGGACAAACAATGATGTCCAATTTTATGAGTCATTTACCTATGGCAATGTGGAATATATATTATATGATTGCGTATATTTGTATACCAAAGGTGAGCCTGAGCCTTACATAGGCAAGCTTGTGAAAATATGGGAAAAGGCAGATGGTAAGAAGAAAATAAAAGTTGTCTGGTTTTTTCGACCTATTGAGATACGTAATTGGTTGGGAGATACTGTACCATGTTGGAATGAGCTTTTTCTAGCTTCTGGTCAAGGAGTAGGCTTGTCCAATGTCAATCCTTTGGTAAATTGAATTCATTCTTTATCTAGTCAATAGTCTGCCTCTTTATTTTCCTCCTTTAACTGGTGACTATCTTGATCCCTATTCATTGTATTCAATATTGGGATATTGTATTGCTTCTTGCATGTCTATTATGCTTTTTATGTATTTTTACTTTTTACGGAATATAGTTGTGGTTGTTATGTTTGAGAAGATGGGAGTGGCAGGAGAATGGAACAACACATACATCACGGCCAAGGTTTGAGGTTTTGGCTTTATTAGCAAAATTTTCTTAGCATCCGTTTGGGAGTGCTTATTGGATCTAAGTGCTTATAGGGTAAGTGCTTATCCTAATAAGTGCTAAAGAGCAAAGATTAAAGTATTGGTATCGGGTATCGTATCGGACCATTCAGATATAAATACGCTTTGGAAACGTGTGGATACGAACGAAAAATATGGAGACGCTTGGATACACTAAGAAATGCATACAAGTTCCACAAGTATATTAATAACATTATATTTAAGGTGAAAATGGCCATAATTAATGTATAAGTACATGGGAAATGTATATTCTAATGGTATATGTGAAGAAACATTTTCCAATTAATATAGTGGTATACATAGAAATCATACAATTTTATTGATAATGTATTAATCAAGAGTGCTAGAACATATTATATTTCTTTTTGCAAATTAATCCATGGATAAATTATTATTATATTATTTTCTATTGAGGTTTAAGGCACAAAACATATGTACCTATTATATGTGAATTATTATATCAATTATTTCCTATTTTACTATTTTAATTTTTAACATTAACAAAAAATCAAGTAAAATTAGTTCTCAAATGTTTGGTGAACAATATGTTTATAATTTTAACTTAAAATTTCTAAGATACATATCATATGCAAATTCATAATTTTTAATTACTAAAATAATTATTCCATTAATAATATTTTTATTTATATAAATTTTATGAAATAAAAAACCATTTTTTGATATGAAAGTAGATTAGCAGATTTGACAAATTCAATTTATATATATATATTTATTTATTATATTCTCAAGTATTTTGTAAATAATAAACATGTTGCTAATAAAAGCATAAGAGAGTCACGTTTGAATAGTGGTGAAACTATTTCCCATATCTTTATTTCCTGTTCCTTTGTGCATTGTGTTTGGGAGCAGCTTTGTTTTCTTTTTGGGTGCAGATGGAGCCCTCCTCAGGATACGGCGGGCCTTTTTGATCCTCATTTCTTGAGACAACCAACAAAAAGAGGAAGATTACTTTGGAAAGCAATGAAAGCAGCAATGGTTAGGATCATTTGGGAAGAAAGAAATGGGAGAATTTTCAATGACAAGAGTAGGACCCAAGCAGAAATCCTCAAGTTAGTTAAGCTGAAGGCTGCACATTGGGTGAAAACTTTGGATGATTTCAAAGTCTTTTCAGTGATTGATATCTTGAGAACTTGGAAAGAGGTGGCACTATTGACTATAGACAAGGCAAGAACAGTGATGGAATAGAAGCCCCCGGCCCCCAATTTTATAAAACTCAACTTTGATGAACGCTTCATTGGTAATAGGGGATTGGCAAGGGTAGGGGTGTCTTCAGAGATAAAGAAGGCAAAGTGGTGGCTTCGTATTCAGGTCCCTTGGAGCATAGCAACACATTGCCAACTGAACTGGTTAGTCTACTGTAGGGGTTAAGGCTTGCGAAACAACTGGGCTTCCATAACCTAGAGGTGGAAGGGGATTCCCAAGTAGTCATCTCATGGACCAGAAATAGCTCCCAGATTCCTTGGGTATTCAGGCATAAATTCAGGGAGGTTGTAAGCCTAACAAGGGAACTAAATGCTTCCTTTAAGTGGGTAAGAAGAACAAAAAATGGAATAGCAGATTCTCTGGCCAAACAAGGGGGCTGTGAGAAGGCAAATGTTTTGGGCAAATCTGTAATCCTTGTTGATTTCAGGTGGAAATCACACCCCAGACCTTGTAATTCCTAATCTTTCATTAATAAAATTCCTTTTCTGCTGATAAAAAAATAATAATAAACATGTTGCTATTTGGTGCAAATTAAGATATTAATTAATGATTAAAAAAATTTAAGATACATATCATGTTCAATTTTGTAAGTTTTAAGTATTAAAATAATTATTCTATTAYCAATATTTTTATTTGTATAAATTTCTTGACATTAAAAACCACTTTTGATACAAATGCGGATTTGAGAAATTAGTTATTCCATTAGTTTACAAAATAATAATTTTTAATATTAATACTTTTATTTGTTTGGATTACATTTAGATGTTAAAATTGATAAAAGTTATTTTATTTCATTAATTATCATAAGATGAAGGTTGGCCTAGTGGCTTAAAGTCATGTTTTAGGTTTGTGCGTTGGGAAATTTGGGTTCGAATCATGACAGACACATTTTCTAAACAAGGCGGAAATGGAAATTCAGTCAGTATTGTATTGTATCGGTGCATATTGGCCGATACAATATGATATGAGCTGATATGAGTGTGTGTTGCCCGGTACACATGATTCAGGGGATACGGGTTTAGTTGTAGTGTTTCCTATATCCCCTTTGTTCAATACCGATACGATACACCCCATATTGGGCATACCGTGTCGATACTTAATCCTTGCTTATGAGTGTTTGGTGAAAATGCACTTCTTTTAAATGGGGGTAGTATAGCTATTTTGAAACTTATGTGGTGGACCAAGATGGGCCAGAAATGCAATAAATGCTTTTTTCAAAAAGTGCTTAAAAAGCCAAAATTTGGATCTTATTCAAAACAGGCTTATTTCTTGAACAAGTGCTTATTTGGGTTTCTTTCCCAAATGCATATAAGTGCTTATTGGTGTGGTCCTGGCCTAAATTAAGTGCTTAAACATAAAGCAATCCCTAATGGGGGCGTAGTGATTTGGAAGACTCATGGGGGAGGGGGTGTTTGGGGAAGGATTGGGAAAAACATGGAATTTTAGATGAAAGTGATGAAACTTCAGGAACTGTTGTGGAAGCATGATTGCACTCCTAAGATGCAAAAAACAACTACAATGGAAAAGCCGTGTGCAACAAAAAACAATTGATATTCTCTTGTTTCTGCCCTCTTGTACAGATTCTCTTTGTACAGAAGGTTTGATGTAAATGCTTCTGTTTTGTTTATGCATTAATACATTCTATACTTTACATTGTCTCAAAAAATTATACCATCCAAAGTATGTTTATAATCAAGAGAATGTGATACAAGCATAAACATAATGGTGAACCAAATACACTTCTCAAACTTTATCCATTTATTTGCCTTTCCAAATATGACTATATTGTGAGAGTAATATAATGTACTTTTACATGTTTCATGTATTAGTATTTCTTGAGATGATTCTCTTTATTCTAATGTTCCATGCATTTGCCAGGAAGTGCTTGTTGGCAAATGCAATGTTATCTGCACATCCAAGGATAGGAGAAACCCGCAACCATTGAGCAGAGATGTTAAAATGGCTGACTACATCTTCTACCGTACATTTGATGTTGGAAGTTGTATGATTTCAGATAACTTTGAGGATGCAATAGATGGCATTGATGGTACTAACATCTTACAATATTTATCTTACCAGTTTCTTGATATGTATAATATATAATTTATGATTATTCCTGTTCTGCAGTCTGATTTCTATGGAAAAGCTTAATTTGTGCCATATTTTTGAATAATCTCCAATGCATTGTAGTTAGATACTTTTTTAACAAGAAAAAAATTCAAAAGTTCATCCCTGCTCCCAAGGTGGACAAATGTTGCAAATATAAGACCCAGGAAAAGAGTTCACCCTCCAGGTTGGACTCATCAAAAGCAGTAGATGGTGCAGCCAAAGATGGAAAGGATGATCATCAAACAAATGCTATAATGAAAGGTTGTTTTTAATGAATAGCTTTGCATTTTTAATTTTTTTTTTTTATGTTATCCATTATGGAGGCAAGCTTGCTTTTGACACAGGAGAGGAATTGAAGGAAACAACTAGAGGGAAGAGGCAGGTGCTTTTTCTAGAGGAGAACTTACCAATGCTGACAACTAGTTTTGACAAGGATCAAGCTAAGGTTGGTAATATTTCCTTCCGTCAAGATGGAGCAGATAAAGGGAAATCTGTCAAGGTTTTAGTGCATTCGGATGCACCAGAAAGTAGACTTTCAAAGAAACAGAGATTTCTTAATCAATTCACTAAACCTGGGGATGTGGAACATAATGCCTCTTTTCCATCAGAACTTGGCAAGGAATCGAGAACCAGTGTCTCACAGAAGCTAAAAGTTGCTAACATGGAGAATGCTGAAAGGTCTTCAGAACCTTTTAGAAAACCTTTATATAAAGCAAAGGGTGAAAAGGTGATTGTTGATGATAGAGCAACTAAGCTTTCTGGCAAATCAGCTCCTAGACTTGAAGGAAAGGCGAGAAACACTGACAACCAAGTAGTTGGGGCTTCCAAAAAACCAGTTATTGTTCTCTCTCTCCCTCCCTCCCTCCTCTGCATATGTAGAGCTGATGTAACCCCTTGTTAAATAAGAAAAACATCTTATTATTTAAGAATATCTTTTGAATTATGTAAAAGGAAATTAGTGGAATCACAAGGTTGACATAAGAGAGGTGATATCGTGAACAGACGTTTATTTCAAATGGTTTAAGTTATTTTTCAACATGCAAACAAAGTATTTATCCCCCACTTGAGTTTTTATTATGTAGAGAATTTAGTTGTCATATGATCCTTTTATTGACAATGAAAGGTTATTCAGTCTACCCTCTCTTTATCAGTTACATCAGGTATGATTTCATTTCTGCTAGTTAAATGAAGTTTTGAGAAGTTTGCTGATGTAGTAATATGCCTTTATGCAATGTTTTTCCTAGACTTTACAAATATTACCATGTACAAAAACATGTCAATCACTAAACGCACTAATTCGTTGAATCTAGGGCCCCTAAAGATGCCTTTCTTGTCCTAGGTAGTTTGGACTCTAGGTTTTGGTCTTTGAACCTTTTTCTCCCTTCTTTCTTTAAAGTGTTAAATGAACCAACCACCCTTCATTTCTTAGTGAATTTAGCTCATTGTGATGGTCCCACTCCAATGATGAGATCATTCTGTTGGAAAGTTGCATTAAAGATTATAAATGCTGGTGAGATGATCCAAAAGAGGTGGAAAACCAGGCTTCTCTCTTCTCAGTTGTGTGTCTCGTGCCTTAGTTGTGATGAGTGTGGCAGAATAAAGAGGAAGAGAAGAAGAAATACTTCTGTATTGATAATGTGTTGAAAAAACATGTTGAGCATACAACTTAAATAGGAAAAGATAGGAGAGACAAACTCCTAGGATCTCTCTCAATTAGGGATTGATTAAATCTTTCCCTTAATCCTAGGATATGATTTTCCTAATTTTATTCAAATCTGTAATCAATCAAATCAAATCTTTCTAAATTTGTAGCAAATCATATCTTTCTTAATTTGCTGCAAATCATATCTTGCCGACACTCTCCCTCAAGTTGGTGCAAAGATATCTATCATGCCCAACTTGCTAACTTGAAGTTCAAATGGCTGTCTCAACAAGCCCTTAGTCAAAACATTTGCAACTTGCTGCGTGGTTGGTACAAACGGAGTGCAAATTATTCCTTCTTCAAGCTTCTCCTTTATAAAGTGTCTGTCAATCTCAACATGTTTAGTCATGTCATGTAGAACCGGATTATGAGCAATGCTGATAGCTGCCTTGTTATCACAATATAGTTTCATAGGAAAACTCACTGGTATCTTAAGATCTGCTAGCATCCTCTTTAGCCAAAGAACCTCGCACACTCCTTGAGCCATTGATTTGAATTCAGCCTCAGCACTACTTCTAGCAACTACACTTTGCTTCTTGCTTCTCCAAGTAACTAAATTGCCCCAAAGAAATGTGCAGTACCCCGAAGTAGACCTTCTATCAGTGATTGAGCCTGCCCAATCCGCATCTGTATACACTTTAACCCCTCTCTTCTCATTTTTCTTGAAGAAGAGTCCTTTTCCTGGTGTGCCTTTTAGATACTTAAGAATTCGATACRCAACTTCAAGATGTTCTTCGTATGGGGAGTGCATAAATTGA